GATGGTGCACCAGGGGATAACAGTTATTGCTTGCAGTTCAGCCCCATTTTTCTCTCTTTCTCCCCAAATGAAAGGTATACACACACACACACACACACACACACAGAGAGAGAGAGAAACAAACAAAGAAACAAAGAAAATAAAGAGAAAACTTGGGGGATATTTGCACTGGGCTTGCTCCTGGCAAGATTTCCAAAGAGGAGGATTCCTATCGTCTTCATGTGAGGCTGAGAGAGTGTGACTCGCCCAAAGCCACTCAGTGGGTTTCCACGTTCAAGCGGACACTCAAACCCTAATATCTATAGTCCAACATTCCAACCACTGCACCCACCATACTGTCTCGCAAGCCTGGGGGTGCTCTGAATGCAATTTTCCTGCGTCTTGGCAGGGGGTTGGACTGGATGACCCATGAGGTCTCTTCCAATTCAGTGATTCTATGATTGTATGGTCTACACTGCTATATAATGAAATTTCAAACTGGATTATACGACAGTATATATGGGACCCCAAACTCTAGGAAAACTGGAATTATAGCCTGAAGCTGATTTACTGCCCCATTACACAGGAGCCAAACAAGGCCTTCATTTTTAAAAACTGAAGCATAGCAGCAGCAGCAGCAACAACAACAACAATGGTTTTATTTATTTTAAATATGCATTAAAATTAATAGGCATTTTAATAAGTATTGTGTTTATTTCTATTGGAGCCCCTGGTGGCACAGTGGGTTAAACCACTGAGCTGCTAAGCAAAAGGTTGCAGGCTCGAATCCAGAAGCGGAGTGAGCTCCCACTGTTAGCTCCAGCTTCTGCCAACCTAGCAGTTCAAAAACATGCAAATGTGAGTAGATCAATAGGTACCGCTCCAGCAGGAAGGTAATGGCGCTCCATGCAGTCATGCCGGCCACATGACCTTGGAGGTGTCTACGGACAACACCGGCTTTTCGGCTTAGAAATGGAGATGAGCACCAACACCCAAAGCCGGAGACGATTGGATGTAATGTCAGGGAAAACCTTTATCTTACCTTATTGCTTTGGGTTTTAATGTACACATTGTATGGATTTTAGGGTTAGCCACTGTGAATCTCCTTTGGGAGAGAAGCAGGATATAAATGCAAATAATAATAATAATAATAATAACTACAACAATAATAAAACAATAATGGTTGTGTTTATTTTAAATATGTATTTTAATAAATACTGTGTTTAATTCTATTTTTAATGTTTGTATACTTTGGATTTTAATGTACACACCGTATAGTATTTGTATTGTCGAAGGCTTTCATGGTCGAAATCCATGGGTTGTTGTAGGTTTTTCCGGGCTATATGGCCATGTTCTGGAGGCAATTTTTCTCCTGACATTTCGCCTGCATCTATGGCAAGCATCCTCAGAGGTAGTGAGGTCCGTATAGTTTTTACTGTTAGTCACTTTGAATCTTCTTTGGAAGAGAAGAAGCGGGATATAAATGCTAATAATAATATAATAATAATTCCTGGGTTGCTATTGTCGGAAATGATCCTGGTATTTTAGGTCCTTTGAAGAACTCGCCTATATTACTTTGATCTTGGGAGTTGTAGCACAAACCAGTACTATGACATCCTACCTGCCCAAGGCCTTTGCCATAGAATCATAGAATCATAGAGTTGGAAGAGACCTCATGGGCCATCCAGTCCAACTCCCTGCCAAGAAACAGGAAAAGAGATGTCTATTAGAGATGTCTATCTCTTGTGCAGTCTATCTCTTGTGCATCCCTTCCTGGCTCTGATGCTGGTTGCAATTCGGTGCGTTCACTAAAGAGGCATAGTAAAGGTAAAGATTACCCCTTGACATTAAACCTAATTGTGTCCAACTCTGGGGGGGGTGCTGCTTTTCTCCATTTCTAAGCTGAAGAGCCGGCGTTGTCCATCGACACCTCCAAGGTTATGTGGCCAGCATGACTGCATGGAGCGTCGTTACCTTCCTGCCTAAGTGGTACCTGTTGATCTGCTCACATTTGAATGTTTTCAAACTGCTAGGTTGGCAGAAGCTGAGTCTAACAGCGGGAGCTCACCTCGCTCCCCAGACTCAAACCACTAGTCTTTTGGTCAGCAAGTTCAGCAGCTCAGTGGTTTAACCCACTGTGGTACCGGAGGCTCCAATAGGCATAAATACCCTAAAAATAGGCATAAATACCCTGAAAAAGCAAGTTGTGGTCTCTAGGATGGAAATCGTATTGCAATCAGTAATTTTATATCCAGGGTAGTTCCCATGCTAAGCTTGTCTGTACATATCCGTTTTGGATTTTAGTCTGAATTTTGAGGGATAAATATTTGGGCATTGCTTGATTCCAGAAGCTCGATGGGCAATGGCGTGGCAATATCATTTTTGGTTTGGGCTTAGGCTTCAAAGGTGATCTCTTATCCCTCTGCAAATATCCTTTTCCAAGTTCTGGCTGAAATCGGATTCTCCGCTCCACTGGCATCGGAATGGCTATCTTTGATCACAAATCATGTGAATTTAGTCTGAATTAAAACCAGCTTTCAATGGCATCCCCTGCCCTCTTTCTCTCCCCCCCCCCTGCAAATTCCAGAAATTGGGCCCATGACTGGCCTCTTTCCAAGAAACCCGCAAAGAACTGAGTTTCCAAGAGCAAAGAGGCCGATGCCTGCCTTCCAATGGCATCCTATGATGATCACAACATCATGAATTATTATTTAGGCAATGGCTCCTCTTTTCCTTCAATAAAAGGGATATAATCAAGTCTCATAGCCCACAGAGGCAGACACTACAACCGACAGTGAAGTTGCTCTGGGTTTTAGTCCAAACTTGGGGTGAGAGGCCTAAGGCAACCGTCCTCAGAGGAAACCTCACCATGAAATCCCCTGAATTGTTTCACGGTGGGGTTTCCAAAAACCAGAAATGACTTGGAGGCAGAAGACAACAACAACAACAATAAGGGATGAGCATCTTGGATAGCTCTGGGTATCGAACAACACAGGAAAGCAGGTCAACAACAACAATAACAATAATAGTAACAACTTCCATAATGTAATCGATCCCCTTCCACCGACATACACATATAGGGATTTCCCCTACATTCTCCCAAATCCTGGATGCCTCAAACAGCCATTTGCAACAACTCAGGCTCCCCATTTCCCCATCTCTCTTTCCAAAAGGCCTATTAGTGCCCCACTTCTTGAGATGATGTCCCTTCTCTGAATCCTGTCGCACTATTTCCACAGATGAACCTGACCCTTTTGTTTTCCCACATCTTCCCTCTGCAAATCCCCCCCCCCCCAACCCTTGGTTCAGGTAGGTCGGGAATAGAGCGAGGGGGGGGGGGAGGAGGTTGCCCCCAGGATTTAAGGCAGAGACCTTTCACATGTGGGACTCCCAAGAGAGCTGGGAAGTTGGGAAGAAGGTCTTTGAGTTGGGAGAACCCAGTGTCTTAGAGGGAGATGGGAGCCTTACCATTTCCCCAGATCCTCAGGTGTTTCTCTAAACATATGGGGCACCCAACAGGTCTGAGGAATAGAGGAGGTCAGAGGGACCCCTAGCAATGGAAGAGAAGACCATGGGCATCATCCTCCCTTCCGGGCCCCAGGTATCACCTGACCAAGTGATATGTGTCAGATACTTGGGTGAATCTCCCAGTCAGGAGAGTGATGCTCAAGCCCTTCTCTTCCAGTACTAAGGGTCCCTCAGGTGCCTGCTTTCATGGGTCTGCCAGGGAGAGGGTGGGCATCTCCCCTTTTGGATCCCAAGTGAGCCCTTTCCAGGTGATCCAAGGTGATCCCTTCCCAGATGGCTCCTTCCCAGGTGAGTTCTTTTCAAGTGAACCCTTCTCAAGTGAGATTTCTCCAAGTGATCCCACCCCAAGTGATCGTTTCCCAGGTGAGTTCTTCTCAAGTGAACCCTTCCCAGGTGTGCCCTTCCCAGGTGAGTTCTCCCCAAGTGATCCCTTCCAAAGTGATCCCTTCTGAGGTGATCCCTTCCCAATTAAACACTTCCCAGGTGATCCCTTCTGAAGTGAACCCTTCCCAGGTGATCCCTTCCCAAGTAAACACTTCCCAGATGATCCCTTCCCAAGTAAACATTTCCCAGGTGATCCCTTCTGAAGCGAACCCTTCCCAGGTGATCCCTTCCCAAGTAAACACTTCCCAGGAGATCCCTTCCCAAGCGAACATTTCCCAGGTGATCCCATCTGAAGTAAACCCTTCCCAGGAGATCCCTTCCCAAGCGAACATTTCCCAGGTTATCCCTTCTCAAGTTAATCCTTCCCAGGTGATCCCTTCTCAAGTTAATCCTTCCCAGGTGATCCTTTCTCAAGTTAACCCTTCCCAGGTGATCCCTTGCCACCTGAACATTTCCCAGGAGATCTCTTCTCAAGCTAATCCTTCCCAGGTGATCCCTTCCCAAGTAAACACTTCCCAGGTGATCCCTTCCCAAGTGAACATTTCCCAGGAGATCCCTTCTCAAGTTAATCCTTCCCAGGTGATCCCTTCCCAAGTAAACATTTCCCAGGTGATCCCTTCTCAAGTGAACTCTTCCCAGGTGATCCCTTCCCAAGTAAACACTTCCCATGAGATCCCTTCCCAAGCGAACATTTCCCAGGTTATCCCTTCTCAAGTTAATCCTTCCCAGGTGATCCCTTCCCAAGTGAACCCTTCCCAGGTGATCCCTTCCCAAGTAAACACTTCCCAGGTGATCCCTTCCCAAGTGAACGTTTCCCAGGAGATCCCTTCTCAAGTTAATGCTTCCCAGGTGATCCCTTCCCAAGTAAGCACTTCCCAGGAGATCCCTTCTCAAGTTAATCCTTCCCAGGTGATCCGTTCCCAAGTAAACACTTCCCAGGTGATCCCTTCCCAAGTTAACCCTTCCCAGGTCATTCCTTTGCAGGTGATCCCTTCCCAGGTGAACTCTTCCAAGGTGAGTCCTTCGCAGGTGACTTCTCCGCAGGTGCTTCCCTTCCCAGGTGAGTGCTTCCCTCCCAGGCGGCCCTTCCTCGCGGGGGCCCTGCTTACCTGGGTCTGCGAGGGAGAGGGTGGCCCCGTTGAAGTAGAGCAGGAGGGCGGCGTGGAGGCAGAGGAGCCGGGGGTCCATCCTCAGGTGGGGGTCCATCCTCCTGCAGCCACATGGGCGAAGGGCGCCCCGAGGAGGGAGGGAGGGAGGGGGTTGGAGGAGGAGGAGGAGGAGGAGGGCCGGGAGGAGGGGGCCCCGGATCAGAGGGCCCCGGCCGCCCCCCAGGAGGCCCCCGCGTCGCCCTCGCCCTCCCCGGCCTCCCCCATTTCAGCACCACGGAGAGGGGCCCCGAGGAAGGAGAGCAGCAGCAGCAGCAGGAGGAGGAAGAGGAGGAGGAGGAGGAGGAGGAGGAGAGGGAAGGAAGGGGAAGAAGGAAGGCCCCGAGGCCGCCTCTCTCTCTTTCAATCTCTCTCCCTCTCTCTCTCTCTCTCTCGCCCCGGGCCCTTCTCCTCTTCCTTCGGCGGCGTCTCCTCGCGGGCAAAGTTTCGCAAAGGACGGAAGGCTCTCTGGGGGTCTGTCCGGGGGTCTCGTTGGGGCGCCTCCGGTTGGGAGCACGGGCCCCCGAGGAGGCCAATCGGCGTGCCTCGTCTTCTTCTTCCTCCGCCGCCGCCAGTCAGTCAGTCAGGCAGCTCCATTCATGGCAGGGAGGGAGGGAGAAAGAGGGATGGAAGGAGGAGAGAAGGAGGAGAGAGAGAACAGGGAGGGGGGGAGGAGGAGTAAGAGGGAGGGAGGGGGGAAAGGAGGGGAAGGAAGGGAAGGGAAGGGAAGGGGAGGGAGGAGGGAAGGAAGGAAGGAAGGAAAGGAAGGAAAGAAGGAAGGAAGGGAAGGAAAGGAAGGAGAGAAGGAAGGAGGGGAAAAGGAGGGGAAGGAAGAAAGGAAGGAAAAGGGGGGAAAGGAAAGAAGGGAAGAAGGGAAGGAAGGGAGGAGGAGAAGAAAGGAAAAGGAGGGGAAGGAAGGAAAAGGAGAGGAAGGACTGAAGGAAGGAAAAGGAAGGGAAGGAAGGATGGAAAAGGAGGGGAAGGAAGGGAGGCAGGGAAGGAAAGAAGGAAAAGGGGGAAAGGAAGGAAAAGGGGAGAAGGAAGGAAGGAAAAGGAGGGGAAAGGAAGGAAAAAGGAGGGAAGAAAGGGAAGTAAAGGAAAGGAAGGTAGGGAGGAGGGGAAAAGAAAGGAAAAGGAGGGAAGAAGGAAGGAAAGAAAAGGAGGGAAGGAAGGAGGGAAGGAAGGAAGGAAAAGGGGGAAGGAAGGAAGGAAAAGGAGGGAAGGAAGAGAAGGAAGGAAGGAAGGGAAGGTAGGGAGGAGGGGAAGAAGGAAAAGGAGGGAAAGGAAGGAAGAAAGGAGGGGAGGGAGGAAGGAAGGAAGGAAGGAGGAGGGGAAAGGAAGGAAAAGGAGGGAAGGAAGGGAGGGAAGGAAGGAAGGAAGGAAAAGGAGAGGAAGAAAGGAAGGAAAAGGAGGGAAGGAAGAGAAGGAAGGAAGGAAGGAAGGGAGGGGAAGGAAGGAAAAGGAGGGAAGGAAGGAGGGAAGGGAAGGAAGGAAGGGAAAGAAAGGAAGGAAAGGGGAAAGGAAGGAAGGAAAAGGAGGGGAAGGAGGAAGGAAGGAAAGGAAAGAAGGAGGAAAGGAAGAAGGGAAGGGAAGGGAAGGGAAGGGAAGGAAGGAAGGAAGGAAGGAAGGAAGGAAGGAAGGAAGGAAGGAAGGGAAGGAAGGGAAGGAAGGAAGGAAGGAAGGAAGGAAAAGGAGGGAAGGAAGGAAGGGAAGGAAGGAAGGAAAAGGAGGGAAGGAAGGAAGGAAGGAAGGAAGGGAAAGGAAGGAAGGAAAGGGGGAAAGGAAGGAAGGAAAAGGAGGGGAAGGAAGGGAAAAGCGGCGAAGGAAGGAAGGGAAAGAAGGAAGGGAAGGAAAGAAAAAGAGGGGAAGAAAGGGAAGGACTGAAGGAAAGGAAGGAAAGGAAGGAAGGAAAGAGGGAAGGAAGGGAAGGACTGAAGGAAAGGAAGGAAGGAAGGAAGGAAGGAAGGAAGGAAGGAAGGAAGGAGAGAGCAGGGCTGAAAAGGAGCAGGAAGGAGGGGGAGAAAGAAGGGCAGAAAAGAAAGAAAAAGAGAAGAAAAGGAAAGAGAAAAGAGCGAGGAGAGGGGGCAGAAAGGAGAGCAGAAGAAAGGAGTGATGAAGGGAGAGAAAAAAAATAAAAGGGGAAGAAGGAGAGAGAGAAGAAAGAAAGGAAAGAAGGGGAGAAGGAGGGAAAGAAAGAGGGATAAAAGGGGGGGGGAATGAGGAAAGGCTGGAAAAAAGGGAGAAGGGAGGAAGGAGGGGGAGACAAAGAGGGAGACAGGGGAGGAAGAGGGTTTAAGGAGGGCAGAAGGAAGAATGTTGAAGGGGAGAAGGAGGGATGAAAAGGGGGAGAAGGAGGTAGTGGGGGCGGGAGAGAGGGAAAAGAGCAGGAGGAAAGGAATAGGGGAAAGGAGAGAGAGAGGCAGAAAGAAGGCTGAAAAGAGGAGATGAGGGATGGAAAGAGGGTAGGAAAAGAAAGGGGGGAGAGACCACACTTGGGCTCTCCAGGCCTGAGGCTGTTAGGAATTGTGGGAGTTGGAGTTCAAAACACCTGGAGGGCCCAAGTTTGCCCATGCCTGGTGTTAATGCACCTCATGATGTTGGCTTTTCGAACCTACTTTCCCTTTTCTTGAAAGCATTTGCAGGCCACCCTTCATTGTAGGATTTTGAGAGATAAAACAATAAGCAGTTCCAAACCGATTCCAGGCTCAACTGATAAAACTAGGTTAAACAGGATAAAGACATCATCCTAGACATCGGGTTTAAACAGATTCGAAGGCTGCAGCAATTAAAATCCAAGTAAATCCAGATGCACATTTGACTTAAAGCGAAGCCCAAAAGGCTTTAATAGAAAGGCACTAACTCTATTCTTAGTAAGGGATTTGAGGGCAGCTGCTGTTGCCTTGCCTCTTGTAGGAAGGCCCAGGCCAAATGTAGGATTCACCGGTTCCCATCCCCCCACATTGTTTCTGCTGGTTTTAAAAGTCAGAAAATGGGAAGGAAAAGAGGGAATACAGCTGTACCTATACTACAGAATTATAGCAGTTTGACACCACTTTAACTCCCACAGCCCAATTGTGTGGAATCCTGGGAGTTGTCGTTTGATGAGACAACAACACTCTATGGCAGAGAAGACTCAATACCTTGTCAAACTACTGCTCCCAGGATTCCATACCATTGAGCCATAGCAGTAGTGTAGCTTTTTGAGATATTTCCCCTTCTCAGTCAGAGACCTCTGGGGCCTCACCAAACTACAACTCCCAGGAATTCCAGACAAGAAACAATCAGGGCCAGCTAATCACCTCCCAACAAAGGATTCCCCCCACATTAAGAAGCCAGACCTTGAAACTGGCAGGCCATTAAATGTCAATCAAGGTGGCCAACTGAAACATTCACACCTACCTCAAACACACAAGATTTCTTTCTCCCACCCTGAACATTCCATAGCTATATAAACCCCATTTTCATAGTTTCCAACAGACCTCACAACCTCTGAGGATGCCTGCCATAGATGCAGGTGAAACGCCAGGAGAGAATGCTTCTGGAACATGGTCATACATCCTGCAAAACTCGCAACAACAAACTGTGCTGTATTCTTGGAGTTAAGTGTGGTCATAATGTATATGTGTGTATACACATTTACCCATATACACACAGTATGCATATATATGTGTGTGCGTGCGCCCGTGTGTGTGTGTATATATATGTGTGTGTGTGTGTTTACAGAAAATTGACAGTGGATTTCTGTGTGTGTGCACGCATATATATATATATATATATATATATATATATATATATATATATAGTGTGTGTGTGTGTGTTTGTGTGTGTGTATAGTGTGTGTGTATAGTGTGTGTGTGTGAGTGTGCACATACGTGTGTGTGTATATAAGTAAACGTTTCCCCTTGGCATTAAATCTAGTCACGTCTGACTGGGGTGTGTGTGCTCATCTCCATACATACATATATATATTTACACACATACACTAGATTAGGTACCCAGCATTGCCTGGGTTTGCATTTTGCAATGGTATTTGCATTTTTCAATGTCTAACCAAACTGTAACACATAAAGCAGTACTTCCTCTGTCCCTCAGATTGTTACCACACCTGTCCGATTTAGGCTTCCATGGCAACCCTCTCGTGGTCTCTTTGGGTCACAGGTGGCTCTTTCCCATGACCCTCTATTGACCTCTTTGGGTCACAGCTGACTCTTTCCTGCAACATAATGTTCCATTGCAAGTTTACTGCAATATACTCCACAGCAACAACATGGCACACATCAGTGAACACTTTCTCTAGCAAACCAAGCTTCTTTTTGCAAAATCTCAGAAATCAGAATGGCAAAAGGAGCAAAAGAAGGTCAATTACAGCTTGAGAAGTCTTTGGTCCAGAAGAAGAACACTGTCGAAACACTCAGATCTCATGAGATGTTCCTCTTTTCCGCAGGCTGTAAAAATGCTGTGTTTTTGCATATATCCTTAGTTGATGGCCGCAAACATTTGGTGCCATTTCAGGAGGGATTAATGCAGCTGGACGGTGGGATCTAAAATGCTGAGTTCTCCAAGTATTAGACAGGCCATTGGAATTAATGTGCATTTAGGTTAATTAAACTGGCCATGGTCTGATTTATGGTCACAGGCCAATGGGAATAGAAAGCGCTTTCCTCTCCTGTTCTTGAGTTGTCAAGCAAAGTGACACCGAATGGGCAAGGAAGGCTTCTTGGCATCCCTTGTTGGCTCCACCGGCGAGAAGTGAGAGCAAAGCTTTTAAACTCCACTAATCCTCAACTCAGATCGGAGATTAAATGGGGCTTGCAAACACTAGCTCTCTGCAAAGACTTTCTGCATGTCCGAATCGGACTGTGGGCAATGGAGCGGTCAGCCTGTCAAGGAGCCAAAGGGCCCGGCGGCCTGGAGGTCAGTGTCAAAGCCAAGCGGAGCCAGCCAAAGTCAGTCTTGGAGGCTGGACAAACTGCAGGAAAATCAGAGGTCAAGCCAAGGTCAGGGCAACCAATGGAAAGTGGATGCTTTCCTTAATATTATTATTATTACTATTATTATTATTATTATTATTATTATTATTATTATTATATTTGTGTCTGGACACTAGTGCCCAGGCCAAGTGAATTTGACTAAAGCCAAACTTGGAGACTGGATAAACTGCAGAAAAATGAGAGCTAAGATCAGGGCAACCTATGGAGAGTTGATGCCATTCTATTAATAATAATAATAATAATAATAATAATAATAATAATAATAATTGTGTCTGAACTTCAGTATCCAAGCCAAGTGAACTTGGCCAAAGCTGAACTTGGAGACTGGACAAATTATAAATCGAGCAAAGGTCAAGGCAACCGATGAAGAGTGGATAACATTATTATTATTATTATTATTATTATTATTATTATTATTATTATTATTATTTGTGTCTGGATTCCAGTGTCCAGTCCAAGTTAATTTGGCCAAAGCTGAACTTTGGAGACGGATAAACTGCAGGAAAATGAGAGCTGAGGTTAGGGCAACCCATGGAGAGTTGATGCCATTCTATTAATAATAATAATAATAATAATAATAATAATAATAATAATAATTGTGTCTGAACTTCAGTATCCAAGCCAAGTGAACTTGGCC